CCTCGCGGCTGGGGCAGGCCCGCGCGGAGGGCGGCGAAGGACCAAGGCTGTGTCGGCCCCGGCCGCGAGGCCTCGGGGGCCCTGGACGGGGCGCGCCGGTCACCACTGGCCGCTACTCACATTCACAGAGCGGCGGGTCCGTGTCCCACATCACGGTGTTGCCCGAGACCACGCACATGGCACTGGGGCGGCCAATGAGTCGGTATCTAGGGAGACACGAGGGCATCTCCCAGCTGGACACCGACGTCCGAGAGCTCGGCGCCCCCTCAGGGAGCCGCGGAGCGTGAGGCCGCGTGTGGCCCACGGGGTGACCGGAGGACGGAACAAGCATCAGGCGAGCGACACCGGGGTGTCCGGTGGGGCGAGGGGGCCCATTCCTCCCGCCTCCGTGGACACCTCCAGGTGTGGGCAGGGGCCTGCTCGGGGGCTTAGGACTTGGATGGGCCGGTGGTGACCACTCGTGAGTCCTCGCGAGGTGGACAGTCCCCAGGGGAACCACCGCCGGTCCCGGGGCCCGGGGTGCCACCAGCCACTCACCCGGCGTCACAAGAATAAGTAATCGTGGACCCAAACTCGATCCCCGAGTGGACGAGGACCGAGCCGTGGAGGAGGTCTTTGGGGTTCACGCATGATTTGCCTACGAGGGAAGCGAGAGTGGGCGGCCCGGCAGCCGCACGCACGTGTTGTCCCCCCCCCGCCGCCGGGGCTGCCCACGGGGTTTCGGCCTCTGTGAAATTTGCATGACCCCGTCGCCCCAGGCGCCCCAACGCCCTCCGGCTGGGCGCATCTGCCCCAGGCCTCTGCGGTCAGCCTCGGTCTGTCGCCTCGACTTCCGCTGTCCACCTGCGGCGGCCGACGGCTGACGAGCAGCGTCATTCTGCAAGTCCTCCCCCTCGGCCGATGCTCGGCTGAGCCGCCGTGTGACGGCTGCTCACAGAACTCTGGCTCCAAAGGGGCACCCCCCGCGGCTCACGGCCGCACCACGCACCTGCCGGCCCTGGCCTCTGCTGGGGCAGCTCTGAGGGTGCCCCGCGAGCATCCTGGTGCCCCGCGAGCATCCTGGTGCCCCGCGAGCATCCTGGTGCCCCGCGAGCATCCTGGTGCCCCGCGAGCATCCT